ATGGGAGTGTCAGAGACAGTGCGACTGGCACAGGACAGAGCGGAGTTTAGGGCTGTTGTACATAGGGTCGCTATGAGTCGCAAGTGACTTGACGGCACATAACAACAACAACAACAACATATAGAACAAGACCAAGAATGGTAACAGGAAGGCTAGAAGGTGCTTTAACAATTATTTATTTAATAATTTTATCTCAGAGAAAAATTCAAAGAGAAGTGTCTTATGAAATGGCATTTAAAAAAAATTAATTATAACATCTCAAAAAAAGGCAATGCTTCTATTTTTTAGAAAATATAGTATCAGTTCAATTATGGAACTATGGTAAATTATATAAGGGAATTACATTTTAGAAAACCACAGATCTTGAACAATGAAGGTGTACAGGGAGTAAGTGCTGAAAAGTGAGTATTTTAGGTTAGCAAAGGGTGACTCCCCACCGAGGCCTGCTCTAGTCGATGGTAGATGAGGAAAGTGCGGAGAATTTCATGGCGATAGCAGCGCCAATGAACATGAAAACTACTAAACTTGTCTTTCCCCAAGTGCCAGCTTCTCTATTCCTTTCAGGCATTTTTCTTTGAGACAAGAGTAGAAGTCCTGGTTTCACATACCACTAGGCCTCTTCAACTTGTACCTGCAAGTCTCAGGTTGAAAATAAATCAGCCTCAGCTTTCACAAAACCAGGTGGTGGATTATCTGACTTTGCTCTTCACGGCCCCACCCAGCTCTTAATTGGCTATCCTTCATTTCTAAAATTATTTTGCTTCCCTTTCCCTTCATATATTGCAAGATCTACTTTAAAACTTAATGTTTGTTACCTAAGTTTTCAAACCCAGTCCACTGTAGATATCCGAGGTATCTGTTCCAGATCTAGTCAGTATGCAAAGTTGCCTGAAGAGAAGCTGAGTGCTCCTGTGTCTGACACAGACTGAACACACATTTTCGGGAGTTCCCAGCATAGCATCAAAGCAGGCATTGGAGGGTGGGGGTTTGTGCCGAGGGAGACAGAAGCTTGCTGAAAGTCCGAGTCCAACCAGGGTCCCTCATTACAAAACTCAAATGTTATTGTTGTGTTTGGTTGAGACTCAGAGCTGACCCTTCAGCAGCTTTTCAAAGGCAGGCAATGGCAAGGGATGAGATTGCCCAGCCCTCTGTAAATCATAAGCAATGATACTGCCCATCCTTCTTCTCCAGTGCAGCTGATGGATTCAACCTGCAAGTGCATTTGGGACTGCAGCACAGCTTCTTAGTCTGATCCTCCAGAGTGTTTTGAGAGGTAGTAAATCACAGCAGAAGAGAATGCCCATCTTTTTGTTCCCTGGAGCCACTGGTTCTTTGTGTTGGCAGTGCAACTGCCTACCACTAAACCATCAGAGCTCCCTAATAGTTTTGTACATTTCTTTGCATTCTTGACCCTCTTGAATAAAGTCCATTAGCTCAAGGGTGAAGGACCTGGATACATAGCTTGTAGCAGATGGCTATATTAGCAGGAAATTCATTCCCAGAGCCCAGGCCTAATCTTGGAAGAGTTAATTACTCTCTTCTAGCTTCTATATTCTCAAGAATAAAACAGAGTTAAAGACTAAGTTTAAAAGGCTGTTTTAAGGATATCAGAGTGAATGAAAACAAGAGAGCATACAGTGACATTTGACAGTGTGAAAGCTGAAATAAAATGGCCCAGATTCAGATCTTTGTTCTGAGCTGTACTAACTACAAGGCTTGGGAAAGCCTTCTTCTCTGTGCCTCAGGTCCTCACTGACAAAGCGAAGTTTTGTCTGAATCTGCCTCAGTTTTTGAGAGTATAAACTGAGATACTGTGGACAACATTAAAATGGCTACCGCCCAGAATAAGCACTCGATGTGTTAGTTCCCTTCCTGCAACTTTGGTACCGGAGGAGTTCCGATTGGTTTATCTCTCATGGAATCAGTTGAAACACACCTACTGGTCAGGCCTGTCCAAAACATCTGCTAAAAAATGATCTTGCTTTGCACCTAAAAATAGGATATAAAAACCTCAGGGTGATGATGACTGTAGAAAAGACCATTACTGAGGAGCAATGATGTCAGTTTGAGGACTAAGGTGTGGCTTATTCAGGTCATGGTCTTTTCAATCATTTGCCATGCATCTGAGAGCTGGACAATGAAAAAAGATGACAGAAGAATGGATGACTTTGAATTGTGGTGTTGGACAAGAGTAGTGAATATCCCAGAGACTGCCAAAAGAACAGATACATCTTGGAGAAGGTGCAGCTAGAGTGCCCTTGGAGGCAAGGATGACAAAGCTTAGGCTCCCATAACTAGGTTATGTTACTACTAGGAGAGGCTATTCCTTGGAAAGGGACACCATGCTTGGAAAGGTGGAGGGACAGTGAAGGAAAAGGAGACCCTCTATCAGGTGGACTGACACAGTGACTGCTGCAATTGACTTGAATGTGTCTGAGATTGTGAGGATGGCACAGGATAGGACAGGATGCGGATCTGTTGTTATATGCCGTACTCAACTCGACAGCACATAATAAGATCCCATGGGAGGATACAGGTACAGAAGGAAGAATATGTTTTTGTTGATGGAAGAATATGTTTATTTTTACGTTAATGCTTTTTTCTTATTGTTGTTGTGTGCCTTTGAGTTGGAAATGACTCATAGCTGACCGTTCATCAGGTTTTCAGAGATTCTAAATCAACTTCTGGGAGGAGACTCCCCATCTTTCTCCCTTGGAGCAGCTGGGCAATTGGAACTTCCTGCCTTTAGTGCAACTCCTTACCCATTAGGCCACAAAGAAAAATATGTTGCCTTAAGTGTTATATTTGCTTATTTTAAACAGAGTTAAAGCGCCCACGAGAGCTACCCAACTCTCATTTCTGTTTTCTCCACCTCCCTTTTGTATGGCGTATTGCAAATCCCCCCCCCCCAAAATGGTTAATTCCAAAAGAAAAAGTTAATTCTGAGTCAAACTAAGTTAGAGCTCAATTTGGCCAGTGTGATTATCTCTGTTTTCCATTAACTACCTTAAACTATGTCCTTCCTTCTTTGGGCGCCTGGGGGTTTATGGTACCGGGAAGCTACTTCCCTTCTTTCTCTTGTTACGTGGTTTGATTATTTACCTCGCTAGCGTGAGCCTAAGAGCATGTACTGGAGCCCTATGTGACCACCCTCCTTAGTGGGCACCACTGTGGACCCAATAATGAATCCAGACAGCTGCCTCCGGATACAATGTGGTTCATTTCTCATGTATGTAAATTACCAGGAAGCAATAAATAAATCTTTCACTTGACTCCGGATCAATTTTTCCGTTTTTACAAACAATTATGCTGAAGGAATTTCCCTACTGGATTTGAGCCCCAACACTTGAAGCTAGACGAGCAAGTTTAGTAAAAATTAAAATAAAATAAAAAAAATAAAGTTTAGAAAATGCACCATTAGAGGTGCATATAAATGCGGAAGGCATTTCTGTGTTTGAAGCACAACTCTGACATCTAATAACCAGGTCTTGGGTACCACAGTGTGGCAAAGTCAGGTATTACAGAGAGCGCTGGTAAGGATTTTTTTGGAGAAAAGTCACAGATTTTATTTATTAAACTAAATGCTACTAACTTACATACACTATAGAAGTGAGCTTGTTCAATTTTTCCCAGGATAACAACTCCTGAATTGCAAGAAGTTAATAATTGCAACAGTGGGCAATTCAACAGGAGGAAATCTTTGGTTTAAATGATGTTATTAGGGAGAATTCTGTTGCTCAAGTATTACAAAACTGAATATATAACTATAATCTGTATTTTTTTTACATAGTTTAACTACTTAACAAAATAATAGGCAAAATGTAGGATGATATAATATTTACTTGGAAAAGCACCAACTTCAACTTTTAAAAGGACTTTCTTTATTCCCTATTAAATTGATCCTAAAATTGATTCTTTCAGTTCTTTTAACATTGAAACTGATTGAAAATATCTGAAAATTCAGATTTGGTCAAGAAATGATTATTCACTCTAACAGATGGATTTAAAATAGGACTCTGAAATTGTAGATTCTTCTTTATATCAACATACAACAACAACAATTATCATTTCCCCATTGCCAGTCAAAGACAAAGCTATGGTGTTATAGGAGGTATCTTTATATAAAAAGAAAGTATTTGATTTTTAAAATAAACAAAGATAGATGCTTAGGGGAAAGTTTACCTTAAAAGAAGCTTAATTAGGGAAAGTTTATTATCTATATGTCCTTGAATGGCATAACAATATATCCTTTTTATCCACAAAATATATTTTCATTATTTTCTGCTTATAAAAACAATTCAGAATTCTATTAAATATTCAAAAGTTATAGATGTTTGAAAGTCTTCTAGAATCTCAGCCTCTGGAAAGTTCCATGATTTTAGGATCTATGTGGTCCAAAATATGTGCATTGTTGTTATTTTTTTCTTTTTATAAAAGTGAATAAGAATTGATCACAATGTTCGAAATATTTTTCTTTATACCAATAGTTGCATTTTTTCCATAGCAGTATAGTACTATATTCCAGAGTACTGATGCATCAACATTTTTCAATCTGTTGCTGATGATTGAAATAGAAAGTCAAAGGAACTTTGGTGCTTACCTTCCACAAGGCTAATATAAGCAGCATTAACAGCAATAAGCCAGCAAAAGCGCTCAAGAGGATGACCCACAGTGGCACGCTGCCTGGTAGCCCATCTTTGGATATTTGAATAGCTAGCTGGAAGTTATGAAACAAGATTGCCAACATTAATAAACAGCTAGTAACACTTCCAGAACACTGACTTCTCGAAGGTTCTCATTTTCTACCAACCTGTGCATTGAATTTACATTTTAAAAATGCTCTCAGTCTATTCTAAATCTCTAACTATATCAGATTTATTATTAATGAAACCAGGTATCATTTTATCTTTCAGAAATTTATACATAAAGAGTGGAAACATCAGTGAATCAAAATGTCTGAATGTTAAGGTGATTAATTTTGAATCAAAATAACATGTTATATGAAGATACTATTAATATCTTTTACTGCACAGACAAATAATATTAGTTTAAGGTGTGAAGGCCACACACCATATTGACCCAAAATACCTGTGAGGAACTCATTACTCTAATCCTAAATTGAGGCATCATTTCCATATAGCAAATGTACAAATCTGTATCAAGTGTGCACATACATAGTTTTTCATAGGTATTCATCCCAATGTTCCTTTTATCTTACCGCACCATCAATTTAAGTTAACTTCTCTTCCAGCTAGCACTTATTGGGTTCAAATGATGTAAAATTGTGAAGGAGGCAGCTTTTACCACTCAGAAACTCATTTTGTGGTACCCCAAACACATATTCTGAATGTCCTATAATTTCACTTTCTAGAAAAACTGACCCAGGGTAGATACCAATGGCTGATAGCAGTGCACAAGGCTCTGTGTTTGTACTTAATAGGAACCATCTCCATTTTCTATTCTAGAAGGAAGATTAGGGGTAGAAAAGGAGACTAGCGGTGAAGGTTTATGCACATCCAAATCATTGCCATCAAATCAAAACTGACTCAGAGCTGACCTTCAATTGAATTTTAGAGGCTGTAAACTGTAGTGGGAGAGATTGTCTATCTTTAGCCTGGGAGCTTCTGGTGGATTTAAACCACTAGTGAGGTGTGGCCTGTGTCACCAGGGCCACATTAAGCTTGTATGCTGTTGCTGTGTTCTGTTGGGTCACAAATGACTCATAGCTCATCCTCCAGGAGTTTTTCTGAAACATTAAGTCCCACAGGAGGAGATTGCCTATCTTCTCCTGCAGAGCAGCTGATGGATTAGAACCGTAAACCTTTGGGATTGCAGCATAGTTTATTACCACTAAGCCACCAGAGCTTCCTCACTATCTCCACCATATGCACATGGATATAGTGGGTGGATATCAATCCAACCAAAATGAACAAACAAGCAAACACATTTACCATTGTCTAGTAGATTCAGACTCAGTGACTATATGGACAGAGTAAAATGTCTCAACACTTGCAGTGCTGTAAATCTCTACAGAAGCAGGCTTCCAAATCTTTCTGCTGTGGAATAGCTAGCTAGTGAGTTAAAAGTGCTGACTTTTCCAATAGTAAGTGGATACTTTAACGCCACCAAGATTGCTTGATACCAATCTAAACTCCTTACATCTCTCCAGGTAGGTCACTCCTGGAGTCCCAGGTGGTGTTGATGGCTAAAGAGCTTGGCTGCTAGCCAAAAGGTTGAAGATCCAAGCCCATTTTGAGGTACCTTGGAAGAAAAGTTTAGCAATCTTCTTTTGAAATATCAGACAAAGGGTTGTTGTTTTGTAACACTGAGTCAGAACCAACCCACCGCTGACCTTCCAGCAGGTTTTCAGAGATGGTTAATTGTATGGGAAGAGACTGTGTATCTTTCTCCCATAGAGCAGCTGGTAGATTCGAACTGCACACCTTTGCGTTGGCAGTGCAGCTCCTTACCACTAAGCCAAGGTAACCATGGGGTTTTAACAAATTCACTTTAGGTCTCTGCTGAAGCATGAGGAATGCAGCACTGGTCATACTATAGTTAGATACAGAATGGGTCATCTTATGGGTGATTTTAAAGACATCTGCCTTAGTTATTTAGTTCTACTATAACAGAAAGAGTACAGGTATGTGACTTAAATACAAAGAAATTTAGTTTTTCACAGGCTTAGAGACTAAAAGTCCAAATTTAGGGTACAGAATCTTGGGGAAGGTTTCTGTTAATTTTGGCTGAGGAGTAAGACCCTTGTTTCTTTGAGTTTCTGCCTCTGGTCACTTTTTTCCTATGGCTGGACATATCCTTTGTTCCATCTGTGCTCTGCTGCCCTGTTTAATCTCTATTTAAAAAATTACTGACTCAAAATATCCCCTCCCTACACTAATCCCATTCCATTAACACAACAAATACAGCTCACTCACAAATTTATTTATAACCACAAGCACCAAAAGAGAACTGTATGTCACAGGGGAGGAGACTGCCCGTTTTTCTCCCAGGGAGCAGAGCAGCTGCACTGCTAACTCAGGGGCAAGCTTCTCTGGAGGGTCAACTTCACCAGTGGCTCCTTGGCAAAGGCAGGGACAATCTCCTGCCATGTGATTTACAGCCTCAGAAACCCAATACAGAGTTAGTTGGGACTTGACTACAATGAGGTTTTTTTGAGTAAAAGTGTAGCTTCCCTTCTCCTCAGCCCCCAGAGAGTAAACAACTTTGCATTCCTTATAAATGCTCTTTACAAAGCAGGTAAAAAAAATATATTAAATATATATAAATAAATATAATATAAATATATAGATATTTTATTTTATTTTAATTGTTTAGACTTATTGGGGGCCATTGGCATCGCAACAATTTTTAAATGAGTAGTTTTAAAAGGACATCTGAATACTGGGGTCCCTCCATACAGAAGAGCACAATTCACTCAATGCTGTTTGCTTCATAGGATATTTAAACTCCAACAATAACAGGAGGGAGAGTTTGTGCTGAAGTCTTGGAGTCCACAGCAACTGCTTTGTTCATATCTTATATATGAATAAGAGCAAAAAAAAAAAAAAAGAAGGGGTAAAAATCCTCATAGCACCAAATTTTCTCCAAGAATTAAAAAAAAAAAAAGCAAAACTTTCACTCAAAAACCCTCTACATTGGGCAAGGCCATAAATCACATAGAGACTGCCCATGTCTTAACTATGTCTTGGAGGATAGCACTTCATTTTTTTACTTTATTATTTTTTTAGCACTTTATTTTTGTTTCAAATTTCTAATAGCTAAATTGAACACCACCTTTAAAAATATTACCGTCTTGACAATAATCTAGAATGAAAGCTGCATAATGGTGTGGACTGGGGTGGGGGTGGTATAACAATGTAAGAATTTTTTTTTATTACTTTTCAAAGAATAAAGCGAACTGAGGTGGGCAGGAAAGAGCTGTGCAACAATGAATGAATGGAAATTTTTAAAAGTAAAAAAAAGTTTAAAAAGGAAAATAGCATTAATTAAAGTAAAAAATTATATCGGCATTCTTGCACAAAAAAAGCACTTCTTGTACAGAAAATGGTTTTCCAGTCTGCTCTTCAGATGCCAACTGCATTGCATAATGTCAGTTTTTAAGGTTGAAAATTACAGCTGCATCATTTGTTATCAAGGTGAATGTAAAAACAGCAATTTACTGTGATAGTTCCTAGCGATAGAGTCAAACACAGTATGCTAATTGTAAATATCATGGTTTTGCCAGGTTCTTACAAGGGAGGACTAGACTGAAATCACACTTCAAGCTAATGAAGTATAATTTGATGCAAAAAGTGTCTGTCACCTACTGAGTGCAGTTCCAATCACTACTTTAGAATCTATAAGCAATTATAAAACATTATGTCACAAAATTCAGAGTGCAATGTGTAATGTTTTCAAAACTTAACGTTGCACTTACCTCTCTTTTTTTATTGCCACTACTTAAAACCAAGGATGCATTTTCACTCTGAAGTTCTGCTTTTACAGTAAGATTTAAACTGGAAAAACGTGCCTGAAAGGCAAATAGGTTTTTTTTTAATATTATGTTAATGGCAAAGAAAGCCTGTCATGTTGGAATAGAGCAATTTTTAAAACTAAGATTTTTTGAGGATCTTAAAAATAGTTGTTTTTGTTAACTTTCCAAACAAATATAATGCTATCAAATGATCAGTGTTCATCCACTCTCCCTTGGCCCTCAATTTTTACTTGTTGATATGTGCTGTCAAGTCTGTAACCCAAAGTGACCTTATGTACAACAGCTCTGAACCTTCCCCTGTCCTAAGCCAGTGTCACTAATTCCAACATAACAATAACCTCCATTGTCCCAGGTACTGTATCAATCCATCTCTTCCTCTCCTGCATTGGCCACCCTTCCAAAAATGATGTCCTTCTCCAAGGACCAGTCTCTCCGGGCCACATGCCCAAAGTATGTGAGACAAAGCTTCAAAACCCTAGCCTCCACGGAGAAACTTGGTTTCACCCTCTCCAAGACAAGCCAATTTGTTTTCTTGGCAGTTATAGAAAGAAAAAGATTCTATTCACACAGTGGAATACTACACAGCATGCAAGAGCAATGATTTTGAAGACTACTACTTAACTTGAGACTGAAGAGCATTATGTTAAGTGAATGAACTCAGTCCCATAAGGACAAATACTGTATAAGATCATTATTGTAAAGATAGAAAGATAACTAGTACAGCATATATGAGGATACAAAGAGGGGGACAATAGGAGAAGAGAGGTGAGGATAGGCAGGGGGCTAGTCATAGGGTCACACAATTTGATGGTTGGAAGGTAGGGTAGGTAAAGGAAATGGGAAAGATCTGATGTAAAAAATAATGTATATGAACTTTGTGAATAAACCAGTGTAAAATAAAAATTTTATTAAAAAAATAAAAAAAAGATTCTAAACAATTTCTATTCAGATTTACCATGAGGGTGGGGGAAGGAGACAGAAACTTCATAATTATCTTTTTTGGCAGCTGCATTCCAATAATAAGATTTATGAAGATGTTCATTTGGGGTCAATGGAATTACTAATACTTAGCAATTACTACTTTATAAAATAGAAATGTAATATGACTATGCCTGAAAAACCAGCCATTTAATATTGTCAACTAAATACTTCCCTAAAAGATAAACAAATAATACAAAATACAGTCGGGAGAGGTTGTATTTTGTTTGTGGGTTTCTTCTTTTTTTTTTTTTAAGTATAGTAAGTAGCCTTTTATTAGAGTACTGGGACAAGAAGAAAAAGAAGAGGAGACAGAAATGGAAAGTTATATGCCCAAAGGGACAGACCTTCCTTCTTGAAAGGAGGTAAGGAGAAAAGGTCATTGAGGAAGTTTTAAAAGAGCATATTGCCAGGCAGATTTGTCTTTATAAGGAGGTTAAAAAATGATGTATTCCCCAAAATATATGTAAAATATAGATATGAATTAAAAATCTGATTTAACACTATGAAAACAAAACATATGTGATTTGTAACCTTTGTTAATGGCGTCAGTGATTCTCATTCTTATAAATCATTATTTCTTATCTGAGTTCCAAAGTTCTAAGGTAAGTACAAGGTTTGATATTCTAGAAGTGCTTGTATCTCAGGGTGAAGAAAAAAAAAATAGGAAAGCCTGAAAGAGGTTATTACATGTGTAAGGAGATACTGGAGATAAGCTGGCTACTAACAAAATGTAGTCAGTCCATAGTCCACAGAGCTGGTGAAGCAGAGTTGGGACTTGGATCTGATGTATCCTCCACTCTAATGTCATGTTTCGTTTTAGTAACACTGTGCTATGAACATACTAAGCTATTGCTAGGTGCCATCAAGTCAAACTATAACTCACAGGGACCCAGTGAACAACAAATCTGAACCCTGCCCTCCCCTAGCCAACCTCACCATCTCTGCCATGCTCGAGTTAGTTACAGTGTGTCAATCCACCTCGTGGAAGTGCTTTTCCTCTTTCTCTAACCCTCCACCTTTCCTAGCATGATGTCTTTTTAAGTAGTAGTATGTGTTACATAGTAAATTGTTGTTGCTGTTATGTGCCATCAAGTTAGACAGAGCTGACTTGTAACTCACCCTCCAGTAGATTTTCAGAGGCAGTAATATATTGAGTTGTTGTTGTTGTTAGATGCCATCAAGTTGAGTACGACTCATAGAGGCCTTGTGAATAAAAGATATGAACCCTGTTCTATCCTGTGCCATCTTCACACTTCCTGACACACTAGAACCCATCGTGACTGTCATTGTGCCAATCGACCTGGTTGATGGTCTTCCTCTCCTTAGCCAATCCTCTTCCCTTACCAACATAATGTCCTTCTCCAAGAATATCCCCTCCTAGCAATGTGCCCACAGTATGTGAAGTGAAGCCTCATCATCCTGCCTCCAAAAAGCACTCTGTCTACACCCTCTCCAAGACATAACTGCTTGGACGTCCATTGAATGTTCAGTGTTGTTCTCCAACACCACAGCTCAAAGGCATCAACATACTAAGAAAACATACTAAGTCGAAAACAAATACGTCTTATCTTTATTTTATTAACAAGTTTCTTTTTGGCTCATTAACCATGATATTGAGCTTGTGAAAAGCTATGAAAAGAAAAGTTTTTATATGATTCAATATTTGCATGTTGCTGTTAGATGTCAGAGGGCTGACTCTCACTCATGTTGCTGTTGTGTACTGTAGAGTCAGAACCAAACCATAGCTGACCCTCCTGTGGGTTTTCAGAGGCACATCACACAGAAGGAGATTGCCCATCCTCAAACCCCGTGCCTTCGGGATTGCAGCACACCTTCTTGCCACTAGGCCACCAGAGCTTCTATAGCAATCCTATGTAAAACAGAAGAAAACCTTGACCAAGCCTGTGCCATCCTCGTCACCTCCACTGTGCTTAAACCCACTGCTGTAGTCATTGTATCAATGCATCTCAGGGAGGCCTTTCTCCCTTTCACGGACCTTCTTTATACCCAAGTGTGATAACAGGATAACATAAACACTTACTTTTATAAAAGTTGGTTTCCATAAGATAAGTGAAACATTCACTTGGCTTGTGTCAGAAGGCATCAAATTGCATGTGATGGTGGCAGATTTACATGAACTGCAATCCTGTTTAAATGTCCAGAGGTACATGTTAGTATACTGCATTAAAATACTTCAGATGAAAAAAAATAAAAAAAATATTTCCGATGGTTATTTCTTGGTCTTTATTGAGGTTATTCACAGGGATAAACTCAGATAAAGACCATCAGATAAAATTAGCACTGGCATAACAAGGAGGGTCTTATCTGAATTTACCAGAATTGTTCCTCGTTTGAGATCTTCAGATTTGGATATGACCACTTTCTTCCTGGAACTGATTCCAAGAGGATCCTGGAGGCTCCTGGGTCTGCAGTTTGCATTCTAAAAAAGGAAAAAGTTTCTTTGATCAGGTAATGTCAGATGTCAAATGGCAAAATGACTTGCAGCAACAATGTGAAAAAACGGTTAATAAGAACCATTGCCATCTATTAAATACCCATCTTGAGTGGGGAGGATGGAAGAAGCTCTTACGAACCAGTAGATATTAAACATTTTGCACTTAGGAGAGTCAGCTCTTACAATGATCTTCTAACATAAGATGTTTGTTTGCTCCTCCCCAGCATCAGAGTTCTCTGCATCATCAAAAGTCATTTGAATAAAGGTGCATAAAGAGTACGAAGAGTACAATTTTCTTGTAGATTCTGGTAAATCCACATTCTTTTTTATTACAGAGAAACTTTAAGAGCTATATTTTTTTAATTCCCTTTATGATGGTGCAGAGAAAGATAATTATAAGCCAACTATCCATGTTGCTGTTTCTTGATTTCTGAGAATAATTTCCTTTGTGAAAAGAAGACAGATTTCCATATGATGACATCATTCTACCTTCCTCCAAAACTCTGCAATGTCTCAGGTACTGAACAATCAAGATTTACTCCCACTTGGACTCAATCAATGCTGCAGATAATAGGAGATGTGATATCAATATTGTTTGTAGTGAGTAAGTGATATTGTCCTTATCACTTTGAGTTGAGAAAGCCCTTAACCGTGCTAAAAGCTCAGAATTACAGAAAAGATCATCCTTTCTGGGGTTATATTACTTTTTTTAATATATGAGTAAGGGAGATAATTGGAAAACAGCACACAAATTCAGAGTTTTTAAAGATACAGTACCATTCTAGTGGTCTTCTGGGTGTACACTAACTATCTAGGAGTTAGGGAAAAGTTCTGGTGCACTAAGTGGGTAAAAAAACATGAACAAATCTCAGCCTGATTCTCTAAGCACTGTTCGTAAACCTCCTCCCTGATATTTACATATAGCTTTACTTTATCACTCCAATCTGGAATGCAAGGAGTGCATGATTAAAATGATTTAAAGTATTTCTCCGAATTTGCCTCAATCAGTTAAATGTTTCAAAACAGTATGAGTGAGAAGTATATATGCTTCACTCCTCTTCCATTTGTCTGCAATGAGTGTCGTCTTTGTGACAGCAACAGTTTCCAATTAGCGACCTACTTTATGCACATCTTTATGCTTAAGATCAATTAAGAAGTCTCTTCAGAGTTGTTCCAATCTGTCAAACAAATTAAAGCTGTTACAAACATTTCAGGCATGCATCAACAGTCAAGAATCTAAAATCTACTAAATAATCAGCAGAAATTACAGGCATGATTTTTATTGCCTAAGTGCCTCTCCACATTACTCTGGTAAGCCTCTTTAGCTCAAGCAGAGTGGGATATCAGACGAACTAAACTTTAAGCACAAAGTGAAGAGAGAATTTGAATGAGATAACTTTAAGGCATATATGACTTACATCAGAAGATGACCATCCAGTTGGGTACAGCACAGGGTAACCATCTGATGTCAAGTTGGGGAATGAAATGGACAATTTAAGTTCTGGCATTGGAAAATGTCCACTTTTTTTAATCTACGGGGGGGAGAGAGTAGAAATATTGAGAAAAGTAAGTCTTTCTTACTCTTTCAATAATATCCTTTTGGTCTTATGTAAAACTTTGGTTCTTAATCGAAGAACTAAGCTATATGACAGGAACCTCATGACACAGTGCTTAAGTGTTCTGTTGGCCTTTTGCTGCTGACTGGAAGTTCACACCCACCTGCTTCTCTATAGGAGGAAAAATTTGCATCAATCTGCTTGCTTAAAAAGAGGGCATGGTGCCACTGTTGTAGACTGGGTCTGACATCAGGGTGGGGGTATGACAGAAAAAACTACATAAATTATGTATATTGTATTGAAACAGATGAAGGAAAGAACAGATTAGAGGTGATATATGATTATTATGGTTAGCACAGGAATTCAGAATTAATGTTGCATAGAGAAGTGTACTCGGGTTGGGGGGTGAGGGGGTAGGGATGTGGAAATTGTATACTAATGAAGGAATATTTTTTTCTTTTTCTTTTTGGAGGGGGGAACGAGCTGGTGGGGAGGGGTGGGCAGGGAGAAAAGTGCGGCAATGAATGAATGGAAATCCAAAACCTCTGTAAATGTCTATTAAAATGAATAATAAAAAAATTAAAAAAAAGAAACCCAGAAAAAGAAAAAGAGGGCATAAATAATGTACCCTGCATTGAAACAGATGAGGGGGAGAATTGTTTAAAGGGGATGTGTGATTAGGTAGTACAGTCATGACGAGAGTCCAGAACGAAGGCTGCATAGTGGAGTGAACCTGGGAAGAAGATTAAAAAACAATGAAAGAATTTTTCTTTTACTTTTCAAAAATAGTGTACTGGGGTGGGGAGGGGTGAGCAGGGAGAAAAGTGCAACAATAAATGAATGGAAATCCAAAGTCTCTGTAAATTTTTTAAAGGCAGTCAAAAAAATTAGTTTCAGAATCTACATGCTGACAGGACTGTTGTGATCTGAGGACTTGTTTTTAAAATGTGTAATATTTTGAATTACAAAATGAATGTAGACACTATGGCACTGTATGGAGACTTGGAAGTAGTCCTGGTGGAACAGTGATTATTAAGCTGCTACCTAACTGAAAGGTAGGTGGTTCACAGTCCAAAGTTGCTTCACAGGATGTGGTGGATAAAGATTATAGAAACGACAGCTTCTGAGACTCTCTGGGACAGTTGTACTCCGTTTTATAGGGTCACTAGGAATAGGAATTATCTCCACAACAGTGTATTTTGGGTTTGTTGTTAGTTTGGGATTTTTTCATTTTTGTTTTTTTAATATCGAGAATTGGCATAATTAAACTGGTAGCCCAGTGGCAAGAAGCCGTGCTGCAATCTGAAGACGTGGTTCAAGGCCACCAGCTGCTCCTTGGGAGAAGGATGGGCAATCTCCTCCTGTTAGTTTAATGTCTCTGAAAACCCTCCAGAGTGTCAGCTATGGGTTAGTACACAACAGCAACAACAAAAGAAAGAACTCTGAATATGACTGGATCTCGTTTCTCCATTTCTTACCCCTAAAATCAAACTGGGGTTAGAAGAAACAAAATTGAATTTTTCCCCCGGATTAAATATCAAATGACAAAACAGACTTTTGGGATCTGGGAAAGAAGGGAGAAAATCCACCTTGTCCAGTGAGACTGGGCTTTTGTTTGCCCTAAGTGAGCTTGCCTTGAATCCTTAAGTCCACACTTCACCTAACCAAGCATAAATGGAAACTTCCAGCCCTGGTCAGGCTAGTCACTCATCCACTTGTCCCCACAGTCCTATCACTACAGAGCTCTACTGAATTGCTGGCTCCCGAGAATACAGTCTCACTTAATTACACACAATGCCACCAAAGGGAGTGGTGCTTTTAGGAAAGAGAAGCTATGCAGTATGAAAAGAGTGATGATCTCCAAATCCTTACTTCTGAGAAATAACACAACTGAACTGGGCAAATCAGGTGTGGTAACCCTGGATTATCCTGAAAGGGCAGGAGATAAGCAGGGATACCCTGACTACATAAACAAATGTCAATCATATAGATTTGTTGGATTTTTGGTGTCTCATTGACATCCCAAACTCAGTCTAGGCTGAAAGTTACTAGGGTAATTCCCTGTGGTTACAGAGGGTTCAGTGAACCACTTATTTCCGAAATTCTAGAGATTCCTGAGCAGCTGTGCCACTTGACAGTTACTGCTCTGTGTCCTGGGCTTCCCTGACATCTGTGGTCTCCTACTCTAATTTTATCTGTCTCCTGATATTTAGTTAAAAATCATGTGCACCTACTCCTCACTTCTTGACTATCTCATTATCTCATGTAGCACATCTGATGGTTTTAGCCACATGGATATGTGTGTGGTTAGGTTTGGAGTTCCTCTACTGTCCACAGGGTTTCCAAAGATCTGTTATTTAAAAAGTAGATGGCCAATCCTGCTTCCTAGTGTGTCTTAATCTAGGAGCTCATGATGGATGGGGAAGGGACTGAAACTGTCAACAAAGCTATTTTACTTAGATCCACAATTAACAACCTTGGTACCAGCAGTCAGAAAATAAGGAGATGCATTGCCCTGTTAAAGTCTGCAGTTAGAGACCTTTCCAAATTATTGAGGAGTAATGGTGTCAGTTTGAGCGCTAAGGTGCATCTGATAGGCCATGGTCTTTCCAACCACTTGCTGTGCATCTGAGAGCTGGACAATGAGTAAAGATGACAGAAAAAGAATTGATGCCTTTGAGCTATGGTGTTGGAGAAGAGCACTGAACATCCCATGGACAACCAAAAAACAAATAAATATAACTTATATATATTTATGATATATTAAATATATCATAGTGATCTTTGAAGGCAAGAATGATGAAGCTTTGCCTCACGTACTTCTGACATGTTGCGAGGAGAAGCTATTCCTTGGAGAGGGATGTGATAATTAGAAGGGTGGAGGATAGACAAAGGAGAGGAAGACCCTTGTCCAAATGGATTGACATGGTGACGGCCGCAATGGGCTGTTGTGCGTCAGGAAGTGTGAAGAAGGCATGATAGAACAGGGTTCAGATCTGCTGTTCACAGGGTCACAATGAGTTATACTCAACTTGATGACATCCAACAACAAAACAGGCTTGGAGTGACCTCTGTATAATACTTTGAATGAGAAACTGAAGAGCCTGGTGACATTATAGGCATGGCAGCTGACTGGACATGGGATGCCTTCTTCCATCTGCCCAGGACATCTCAGTACAGCCATGCAGGGTGAAAGGTGACAGTGGGGTAACAGGTTCCAGGCAGGCTGGGGGAGCCTGGGCAAGGATCTGAAGGCATGGGGTGATCAGTAAAGAGAGGCAGGAAAAGAGGGAGAGGAAAGGGGGATACATGAGATTTCAGGGTTGAATTGAACAGATGAACATTTAAGCACAACTAAAACAATCCCCAGTCCCCTGACTCTACATAACACTGATTTCACAGAACAAACTATGGAGATGAAAAACACAGTGGGAATATTCTTTAATATCATTTGCTTATTCTTATTTAAAAGATCCTTTGTAGAAATAGAAATAAAAAATGCATTGTTATAAGGTCAGAATCAACTCATGTCAGAGACTGTAACTCACATGGGGGATGCGGGAGACTGAATAAATGAGAGCAGCCCAAGATGTGCTGCATTACTCCCTACAGACTATATCATCAGAGCCCTCAGTGCAGAAATATAGGAAAGTATAAAAAAATAACTAAAAAGAAAAGTTTCCTGCAATTTCATAACCTAGGTAGCAAGTTGGTATAAGTATTACCAGGATTTCATTTGCATATCTGAAAATTTATAAAGATTTTGGGTAATATTTTAAAGCTCATTACCTATAATTATCATCTACATATTATAAAATTCATATAAAATTTAAAAAATTATCCTGTTTGCAAGATTTATTATAGAATGCAATTTCCCTATAAACGTATATTCTTTGAGAATATGACTTGTAATACTTAATAACAACCATAATATCAGTATTTATCACTGACCACAAGCCAGGCATGCTGGTAACTTTTGCATTTGCATTACTACCTTTAATATTTCTAACAACCTCAGGAAGAAAATTCTTTTATGTTCCATGAATTATTGTACTTGAATGCATATCTTTTTGTTGCTGCTGAGTGTAATTGAGTCGAGCACGACTCATAGTGACTCTATGAACAAAAGACCTAATACCTTTCCGTAACTATCGTAGTTTCTCCAAGTTCATAAAGTTCCATAGGCATGTGGTTTAGGAAGTGGATGCCACTCCGGCTTCCAAACCTGTCCTACACCAGGAAGCTCCACCAAACACTGTCCATATTGGTAAACTATTATAGTATTTGATACCCTAGCAGGGTTTAGGGCTGTTGTACATAGGGCCATTATGAGTCGCAAGCAACTCGATGGCACATAACAACAACAAGGGCACAAGATTCGGCACCACAGCAAACCCAGATTACCTCAGTACAACAAATTGACAAGAAGGGATGTACAAAGTACAAGAATGTTCTTCCAAAATATAACAACACTAGGTGAAGCTGAAGAAAATGAAACCAAATCCGCAGGAACCAAAATGTAACTTTGAGTCTATCCCACCTGAATTTCAGAACCATCTCAGGAACAGGTTTGAGGCCTTGAACACGAATGTGCAAAGACCAGATGAGTTGTGGGAGGATATCAAGGGTATCATCCAAGAAGAGCGCAAAAGGTCATTACAAAGACAGAGGAGGAAGAAAAGACCAAAATGGATGTCAGAAGAAACTCTGAAGATTGCACTGGAGTGTAGAGAAGCCAAAGCACAAGGAAGAATTCAAGATACTAAAGAGCTGAACAGAAGATTTCAAAAGGCAGCGCGGGATGACAAAGTAGAATATTTCAATGAAATGTGCAAGGAGACAGAAAATCAAAAGGGCCTAACTCACTCAACATTTCTTAAGTTCAAGGAACTGAAGAACAAATTCAAGCCTAGAGTTGCTATAATCAAGGATGCTTTAGGCAGAATATTAAATGATCCAGGAAGTATTAAAAGAAGATGGAAAGAATATACGGACTCACTGTATCAAAAGGAATTGGCAGACACAGGAGAATTTCATGAAACAACATATGTGCAAGAGCCTATGGTGATGAAGGAAGAAGTTCAAGCAGCTTTGAAGGAAATAGCAAAAAATAAGGCCCCAGGAATAGATGGTATACCAATTGACATATTGCAGCTATTAGATGCTGCCCTGGACGTGCTCACCAAATTGTGCCAAGAAATCTGGAGAACAACCACTTGGCCAACTAACTGGAAGAGATCTATATTTGTTCCCATTCCAAAGAAAGGTGACCCAATAGAGTGTGGAAACTATAGAACAATCTCATTGATTTTACATGCAAGCAAGATTCTACTGAAGATTATCCAAACACGACTGGAACAGCACATCAGCTGAGAATTGCCAGAAGTCCAGGCTGTGCTTAGAAGGGTTTGTGGTCCTAGGGATATTGTAGCTAATGCTAGATGGATATTAGCTGAAAGCGGGGAGTATGAGAGGAATGTCTATCCGTGCTTCATTGATTATGTAAAGGTGTTTGACTGTGTGGATCATAACAAACTGTGGCTGACTCTGAGAAGAATGGGAATCCCAGAACACTTGATCATGCTAATGTGAAACCTATACTTGGACCAAGAGGCAGTCGTCAGAACAGAGCAGGGTAACACTGCATGGTTCAAAATTGGGAAGGGCGTACTGCAGGCATGTGTCCTGTCTCCATACCTTTTCAACCTGTATGTAGAACAGATTATCCGAGAGGATGGTCTCTATGAAGAGAAGTGTGGCATCAGGATTGGTGGAAGATCTATCAACAATCTGCATTATGCAGATGACACAACCCTGCTGGCTGAAACTGAGAAGGACCTGAAGCGCTTGCTGCAGAGGGTCAAGGACTGCAGCCTTCATTATGGATTGAGGCTCAATGTCAAGAAGACAAAGATTCTCACCACTGGACCAATTGGCAGCATCAGGATGGATGGTGAAGAGATTGAGATTGTGCACAGCTTTAGTCTGTTTGGCTCCACAATCAACACTCTTGGCACCAGCGTCCAGGAAATTAAAAGACATATCGCGATGGGAAAGTCTGCTGTTAGGGACCTTTCTAAAGTACTGAAGAGCAATGGTGTCTCTCTGGAGACTAAGATGCACCTGATAAAGGCATCTTTGCAATCACTTGTTATGCATCAGAGAGTTGGACAATTATTAGAGAGGATAGAAGGAGAATTGATGCCTTTGAGCTTTGATGTTGGAGAAGAGTATTGAATGTACCATGGACTGCTAGGAAAACAAACAGTTTCACCCTTGAGAGGGTTAAATCAGGCTGCTCCTTGAAGGCAAGGATTCTGAGGCTTTGTCTGACATATTTTGGTCATGTTGTAAGGAGAGACTGGTCCTTGGAGAAGGACATCATGCTTGGGAGGGTGGAGGTCAGGCTCAGGAGTGGAAGGCCCTCTAGGAGGTGGATTGATTCAGTGACTGGGGTAATTGGGATGGGTGTGTCGGAGACACTGAGATTGGCACAGGACAGAGCAGAGTTTAGGGCTGTTGTACATAGGGTCGCCATAAGTAGCAAGCCACTCGACGGCATATAACAACAACGAGTCTCACTTAGCTTAAATGTTGTCAAGTCAAATAGGACTCATAGCGACTCTAAGAACAAAAGGCCTGAACTCTGTTGGGTAATTAACATAAATTTTATGTTTACAGAGTTAATAGTTTTCAGAGGCATCTGGTTTAGGAAGTGGGTTTCAGTTCTGCTTCCAAACCTGAAGCAATCTGAAGCTCCTGCAAACAGTAACCATCATGACATTTGACACAGCCATGGCACAATGATTGGCAATATCAAGTTATTCAGAACAGCAAATAGACAAACGACTGCTGTACCACTTAAAGACTGTTCATTCTTATATTAATAAATTAAAATTTTATAAGAAATTAAAATTTTAAGGATACATCCAGCAAACACTCATGACCATGCTCCACCCTTTGGTCCTTGTCGACTAGGGTAAAAGTCTGGGCCGACTGACACCCACTTGTGGAGGGGAGGAAAAAAAAAACCCTAAAACACCAACATCAGAGCCTAACACCAAAGAATACAGCTTTCAATATTGATTGCATCACCAATAACCCATGCCAAATACAGACCAAACACAATCCAAGACTTTCCTTACGTGACCCCCATCAAGAGCAAGAACCTGGACTTCTAGAGCGGAGCCACTGCATAGCAGTCTCCAGGCCATGTGTTACATGTCTGTAAAGAACATATATATATAATACTTTCTTGCCATTTTCACTTCCCCATCAAGGCATTTTTTGGTAAATATGCTGTTTCTGGTTACAAAGATACCTTGTGGAAGAGTGTTGTTGGCAAAAGGCTAAAAATATGAATGATAGCAGTGAGAAGAATGAATATGTATTTTGTTGAATAAATAAAAATATCTTGTTAGGAGGGGCCAGTCATTGGAAAAGACATTGTACTTGGAAAGGTGAACAGTCAGTGAAGGAGGGAGAGACCCTCAGTGAGATAGACTGACACTGTGATGGTAACAATGGGCTCAAGCATAGCAGAGGTGGTGAGCAAGGCCAGGCCAGGCCAGTGTTCAGATCCACTGCTATGGGGGGGTAACTATGAGTCACAGTCGACTTGAAAGCATCTAACAACAACAACAATAAAGATTACCAAGACAATATAAAAAGAACCGATCTCTGAAATATTTATCACTGCAAAAGTGCTTTTCTCAGTCAGTTGGAAAATAAAAGAAATAGTCTCTAGGCTTATGCACTGTTACCATTTGAGCTTAGTTCATACTGGAACAATCATTGTTTCTAGCGAAGTCTTCAAAAAGGCTTTAAAGTATAATTAGCAATACTTTAAATAAAATGAATAGTGTAATGATGAATACAATGTGTTGTAAAATATAGAGGAAATATAAAAACATGTTTCTATGTGGCTGCTAATATTTTAATCTAATTTATAAACATACAAATAACTTCTTTACAATATTAAATTAGAAATAATTTCTTACCAAGTAGACAATGTTAATTTCATTTCCAATGTCTTCAGTAGAATTAATAATTTCTGGGACTGTTTCATTGGCCGCAATGGAAATATGGTATTCACTTGCAGAGCTTAAAAGGAATTAATTGGAAGGGGGAAAAAAAATTAAAGAAAATAGAGCCTTTTATCTCACACTGTTTGTTTTTTCGTTTTCCATATGAATGTAATCCTAATACAATACTTTGAGCATGTTGTTCGGGGCTATTCCTTGGGAAGGTACATCATGCTTGGAAAAGTGGAGGGTTAGTCAAGGAGAGGAAGACCCTCAACAAGACGGATTGACACAATAACTGCAGCAATGGGCTCAAGTGTGTCAGACTTGATGGTACAGAAAGACAGGGTTTAGATCTGTTGTTCACAGGGTTGGTACGAGTTGTACCTGACTTAATGGCACATAACAACAACAAGAACAATGACAGAATTTTAAATCAAGAAGAATTTAACCTACCCTGAACTGTGAAACTCTGGATGCGGGTGAGAAAGATTAAATAATTCATTTCAACAACTCATGATTCTTAATTACTTTAAAATGTTAAAATATGTGCTTTTTTATGTCACCAAGTTTCAGTTTAAAATGCATACATTTTTTTAAAATGTTTTCATGGTTAGAAGTGAAAATTAGAAAAGTTTCTATGCATTCACTCACATTATTTATAGTGAGTGAATGATCACCAACTAGTATTTTTACTAGCACTGAATTTTAAATAGTTCTTAAAAAAATTACTCCCTCACAGCTTAAATTCCTATTGTTAAACTGAACCAACTCATAGATGACCCTTTAGCAGGTTTTCAGAGGAAATTTAAAGTCATATATTTATTGCTAAACTTAAAACTCAATGTTCTCCAGACTGTTTGGATGAACTGTGGTAAAAGGAAAAATAACAAAAACATATTATTAAGCAGTACTTCAGTCAAGAGAAAAAATATTTTTTTTTAAAAAAAAGAGTTGATAAAAACTCATATTAAATGAATGGCAAATCTTGGGAAAAGCCAAAATACCACTGTTAGACCATACAGCAAAACAGGAAACAGCCAGTTAATATAAAATCTCAGCAAGATCTATTTTTCTATCCTCTCACTTTGGGAAGTGTCATTCTGAACTCTCCTGCAAGAGGAATGTGTGAGAATAACTGGAGGAGACAACACAGATTGCTGGGCCCCACTATTGGACCTGCTGACTCAGAATGTCTGGGGTGAGATCTCAGAAAATGGTCACCTAGTGGGTAGAGAGGGAACAGAGAGGTGCATTTCCAACCAAGAAGCAGGTGGTCCAAATTCACCAGCAGCTCTCTGAAGGAGACAGATGTGCAATCTTCTGTGTTATTTTACAGCCTCTGAAATCCACTGGAGGCCCAGTTATTTGGTCTGTTTTGTCTAGATGGCACATAGCAACAGCAAGAAGTAGGTAAGGAGTTGTTAACCCAAAGGCAGGAGGTTCAAATACACCATGGACAACCTTCTCTTGTGTGAATTAGTCTCTGAAAACTTGGTCGGGGTCAGCTAAGATCAAGGTTCTGACTTGAAGGCATATAAAAACAATATCAACCACTGCTAATTGTACACATGCAATTAGGAACCAAACTTATGATAACCAAAGAATTAGTAGCAAAACATCAAGATAAAAGTGTTGCTTTCTCCTACCTGTAAAACTGTAGTCCGACTTCATACTTCACAGGGATCGAAATGTTCACCTCATTGTCAGAAAGGGCTTCAGGGGGTTCTTCACTGTCACTAGAAAACAAAAGGCATATCCATGACCAATTGTACATCATTGCTCATTTCAATATATTTCTTAGTATTTGAATAAAAGCCAAGCTATACAAATAAAAGGTAATAAAGAGTAGAACTCCTGATTTCTCAGTTACAGTGGTGGAAGTGACTATGTTGAAAGTCCTTTAAGTTTGCAAAGTGCTATTGGGATTCAGAACCAGATCGGTTTAGTCCAGTGTTTCTCAAACTTCTGCAGTAATAATGAGAGGAATCCCTGTGCCAATTGTTAAAATACAGATTGTTCTCTCCTAGTGCTACAGTGGATTAAACAGTGGGCCATTAATTGAAAGGTTGGTAATTTTGGTTGTTGGAATCCACCAGCAGCTCTGTTTGAGAAGATGGGGCAATTTGCTTCTGTAAAGTTTACAACCTTGGAAACCTCACCGGCAATTCTGCTTTGTCCAATCAGGTTGTTAGGAGTCACAATCAAGTTGACTGTGGTGGTTTTTGCTGTTGTTGAGGGTGTGGAGGCATGTACATCTATCTACCAGTGTTGGCACCATATCCATATAGAATAAATATCTACTTATGCAAATATTCATATATTAATTTATTATGACAAAATTTTATCTTATAGGATTTTCCATTGTTGTTTAGTGCCATTGGGGCAGTATCTGCTGATAGTGACTTATAGTTACAGCACAACAAAACAATGTCTGATCCTGTGTCATCTTCACAATGGTTACTCTGTTTGAGCTCACTGCTGCAGCTATTCTGGTCTTGATTTACTCATCTTTAAAATAAAAATTTTATGATTAAATTATTAATAACTGAAAGAAATACAGCAGTCCTGTCAAAATGAATTGCAACTTATAGGGACCCTATAGGACAGAGTATAATCCTCTGCAAATTTTATACAAGCCAACCATTGCAACTTTCTCCCATAGAGGAGCTGGTGGGTTCAAACCACTGCAGCATGCAAGCATTTACACTATGAAGCCACCACAGCACAGTTCCCGAGAAAGAAACATAAAGTTTTTAAAATTGTGCCTGGGACATGGAAAATACCCAATAACTTTTCATTGTCATTAATATTATCTACCCTTCAATGTCCACCGTGAGACCAAGGCTTAGTAGATTGTTTTACAGAATGGCAATGAGGCCCTCCAATGGCTCTGCTTATTTCCAAGCATATGAAGTGAGTGGCATCAGCAACGGGGCAGTGAAAGCAGCATCTTACCATGGGCTGCAAGTATTTTTGAGACTGGATTTGTGGTATTCTCTCCCACCTATTCCTATATTCTCCCACCCAAATTGTAGCCAAATTAATTTATCTGAGAAGCAGTTTTGTACATATGTTTCCCCTCAGAAACTTCTGGTTTATCTATTTCAGACTGAAGTGCTTCATTCTAACACTCAGTACTTCTTCATAGCATGATACTATGTATGCTCCCCCTCTACCTTCCATTACTCCTTTATTTATCCCTTATCTTTCTCTCCATCAGTTACTTAACATTCTCTAAAGATCCTTCCCTGTCCCACCTTTGTGTTTTTTGCTCATGCTGTCTATTTTGCCTGACATGCTCCATCCAGTCCTAGCCACTGAACGGTCCCTTTTTAAAATGCTACCCACCTTAAAAGTCCTTCCCAATTTTAATCTTCTTAGTAAAGCTTTCCTAAATTTCCATTGCCAAGTAGATGCAATTTCACCCTCCATTAAGTCTCTCTGACATATAGTTTATATTCCTCCGATACATTCTTCTTACTCTACTCTGTATTATACTAATTTATACTAGTCACAAGCCTTGCTGGGACATTCACATTATAAGGTGGCACATTACCATATAATACTCTGCAGTGATTAATTCACTACCTTGTCCATAGTTGAGGTCAAACAAATATTTGTTAAGTTAAAGTGCATTGAGTTGAGCATTCAATTTACTCCGTTTACTTGTTTTTATTTACTCCATTTATTTCTTTTTCCATTTATTCACTCACTCTGTATTTATTAAGTTCTTAGTATTTGCCAGGCACCATATTAGTTACTGGAGAATAAAGCAACAAGATGAAGAGCTTGATTTGAAAGAGTCTATGGTCTAGTAGATAAGTACTCTTAAAAAATGCTAATAAAGAAATTATTTGCATTTTCTTATTACCATTTTCCTGTTTTAAATCTGATTAAAAGATTGGATTGAACTGGATAAAATTTATTAAATACAAAAAGGGCATCATCATAAAACTTTAAAGTCCATCAAGAGATGAAGCTGACCATATGGGAAGCTAATAAAAGTCTTCAATTAGCAGAGCTTGAGGATTTTAAATAATATTAAATGCAATTAGGCAGATGTTAAGTGACATGAGATTATATTTCATAGTTTATAAACCAATACTTTAACCCATTTAGGTGAATTATTTCTATTATACAGCAATGTCCTCATTTTACCAATTACTCTTCAGAAGTGTTTTTGTGAAGTAAAAATGGTTCATTGTCTTTTATTTCTATTAATCTAATATAATTTTCTATAAAGCAAAGTATTCTATATAAATGAAAGGAATCATATACAGGCATATCCTGGGAAAGATAGTTAAGTTCTAGACTTCCACAATAAAGTGGCTGTAACAATAAATCAACCCACATGATTCTATTGTTTGCTAGTGCATTACATTAAGTGTGCAAAAGCATCATAAAAGAGTTTGAAATACTGTAAGAATTAACAAAATTCAACATAGAGACACAAATGAACATGTGCTATTGTAAAAATGATGCTAAGAAACTTGCTCAAATCAAGGTTGTCACAAATCTTCAATTTGTAAAAAACACAATTTATATAAATTATGTATCATCATATATCTCTGTGTATTTGTTTACAACATACATTTACACATGGATAGAAACTAACCTTGTTACACTTAAATGAACAGTCACATTTTCCATGAGACATGATGTGTTAAATTGGAACAAGATTTTGAAAGTCACCTTTGAAATAAAAACATATGTATGTTTAGTAACACTTAATAAAGAAAACATTAACATTGTTTAAAATGTGTAATTCGCTAAATTGCCTAAAAATAAATTGTTACATTGTTCAAGAATTATTATCTTACTAATTAAAACTTCAATACATTTCAAAATTGGTTCTAGGTGCCATTGAATCAAATACCTCTCGTAGAGACCTTATGAACAATGAATCTGTATCCTGCCAGTGCTATCCTGTGCTGTCCTCATCATCTCTGATATACTTGAGCCAATCACGATAGTCACCATGTCAATCCATCTTGTTAAAGTCTTCCTCACTTTCTCCACCTCTCCTAGCATGATGTCCTATTCTAAAGACTGATCCCTCATAACAACATGCCCAAAATATGTGGGATGAAGTTTCATCATCCTTGCCTCCAAAGTGCACCCTGGTTGCATTTTTTCTAAGAAAAAAATATATTGAGTGCTTTTCTCCAACACCACATCGTAAAAACATTAATTCTTCTTTTGTCATCCTTTGTCATTGTCCACCTTTCAGATGCATAGCAAGTAATTGCAAATTGCAAAGATTATAGCTTGAATCAGACACACCTTAGTCTTTAAATTGACATCAGTACTGAAGAAATGTCTATTTGTGTTTCATTGATTTTGCAAAGACATTTAACTGTGTGGATCACAATAAATTGTGGCTAACCTTGAAGAGAATGGGAATCCCAGAACAATTGATTGTGGCTCCATGCCAAACCTATATTCAGACCAGGAAGCAGTCCTCAGAACAGAGCAAGGAAACATTGCTTGGTTCAAAATCAGGAAAAGAGTATGTCAGGGATGAGTCTTCATAACTATTTAATCTATATGCTGAAGAGAGCATTCAGGAGGCTGGGCTTTATGAGGAAGAATATGAAATCAGGATTGGAGGAAGACTCATCAACAACCTCTGTTATGTAGATGGCACAACCTGGTTTGCTGAAAAGGAGGAGGACCTGAAGCGCCTGCTGCAGGTCATGGATTGTAGTCATCAATATGGATTGAAGTTTGGTTCAAGAAGACAAAGATTCTCACCACTGGGCCAATTGGCAGCACCATGATAGATGGAGAAGAGATTAAAGTTGTTAACAATTAAGCTTGCTCCACAATCAACATTCTTGGCCCCAGCAGTCAGGAAATCAGAAGATGAATTGTGCTGGGAAAAATCTGTTGTTAGGGATCTCTCCAGAGTACTGATAAGCAACCACATCAGTCTAGAGATGAGCCTGATTCAGGCCATGGTCTTCACAATTACTTATTATGCATCAGAGAGCTAGATAATGACTAAGGATGTTAGAAGAAGAATCAATGCCTTTAAGTTTTGGTGCTGAAGAAGAGTAATGAACATACCATGGACCACCATGAAAACAGAGATCTGTTCTGGAGAGGGCTAACTCAAGTTTCTTCTTGAAGGCTAGGATTTTGAAGCTCTATCTCACATACTTTGGGAATGTGGCCAGGAGGGACAAGTTATTGGAGAAGGACTTCATGCTGGGGAGGGTGGAGGGGCAGCATAGGAGAGGAAGACCCTGGATGTTGTTGTTGTTATGTGCCTTCTAGTCGTTTCCGACTCATAGCGACCCTATGCACAACAGCTCTAAACCCTGCTCTTTCCTGTGCCAACCGCACCGCCTCTGACACACCCATCCCGATTACCCCAGTCACCGAATCAATCCATCTCATAGAGGGTCTTCCCCTCCTGCGCTGTCCCTCCACCCTCCCAAGCATGATGTCCCTCTCCAAGGACCCGTCCCTCCTGACAACATGACCAAAGTATGTCAGACGAAGCCCCAGAATCCTTGCCTCCAAAGAGTAGCCTGGTTTAACCCTCTCTAGGATGAATCTGTTTGTTTTCTTGGCAGTCCATGGAACATTCAATACTCTTCTCCAGCACCACAGCTCAAAGGTGTCAATTCTCCTTCTATCCTCCTTAGTCATTGTCCAACTCTCTGATGCATAACAAGCAATTGCAAATACCATGGCCTGTATCAGGCGCACCTTAGTCTCCAGAGAGACACTGTTGCTCCTGAGTACTTTAGAGAGGTCCCTAACAGCAGACTTTCGCATCGCAATATGCTTTTTGATTTCCTGACTGCTGGTGCAGACCCTGGATAAGATGTATTAATATAGTAACTGGGGCTCTGGGGTGGATGTGTCGGAGTCAGTGAGACTGGCTCAGGAGATGGCAGACTTCAGAGCTGTTATACGTAAGGTCTCTAAGTCTCAGGCCACTCGATGACACATAACAACAATAACAACTCTTTAACACTGTAGGGAGATACTTGATAGAAAATTCATCCAATGTATTATGTCATGAAAAGTATCCTCTCATTATGATTTTCAGCCTCAGAAACCCAGTGGAGTGTTACTATGAGTCAGAATCGACTTAACAGTGAGTTTGCTTTTTTATAATGTGAGAAAGTGAAAATAAATGTAGAACTGTGCTTTTTAAAGTCTAAGTTAACAAGTGAGATATCTTCCTATCTTTATGATTTTGATAATGTGAAGTACTTCCCTTCTTGTTTTTCTGTACCTTCAAGAAAAAGCTACCCATTGTTGATCATCCAGTAGGTTTTCAGAGGCAGTAAATCACACAAGAGGGGATTGCCCATCTTTCTTCCACGGAACGTCTCTCCCATGGATTTGGACTGCCTACTCTTTTGTTGACAGTGCAATTATTCATCACTAGATGACAAGGGCTTCCTTACTCAATAGTAAATAGGTAAATATGCATACTGTGAATGAATGTAACTATGTTGTTATTGATGAGATAATAATTTTCTGGTTTTTAAAATAGAAATAAATGTTATATTTAGAAAAGAGATAAAAGGGCTCTCCTCCCTTCTGTAAACTTTGTACTGGCGATATAGTTAGGGAGAGCCATTAGGGAAGAATTGGAAAGATAAATATTTATATTGGGAAGGATGGCTCTATTAGAAAATGGTGACATTTTGAAATAGAAAAATAAAAAGGGATCCACTAAAAAAATTAGTGCTAATAAGTTTAACAAAGTTGCAAATTACAAGGTCTATATGCAATAAAATATTAAAAATGAATTTGACAAAATAATTCAATCTTCTTGTTGTTCTTGTTAGGTGCCATTGAGTTGAGTATGACACATAGCCACCCTATAAACAGAAGATTTGAACCTTGTTCTATACTGTGCCATCCTCACACTTACTGACATGCAATAGCCCATTGCAACAGTCATCACATTAATCCATCTGGTTGAGGGTTTTCCTCACCTTCGCTGACCCTCCACCCTTCCTAGCATCATGTCCTTCTACAAAGAATAGCTGCTCCTAGAAACATGCCCAAAGAATGTGAGGCAAAGCTTCATCATTCTTGCCTCCAAAGAGCACCTGGCTACACTCTCTCCAAGACATATCTGTTTGTTCTTTTGGCTGTCCATGGGATGTTCAGTGCTCTCCTCTAATGCCACAGCTCACAGGCATCAATTCTTATTTTGTCATCCTTATTCATTGTCCAGCTGTCAGAAACGTATTGAGTGATTAGAAAGACTATGACCTGAATCAGATGCACCTTAGTCCTCAAACAGACATCATTGTTCCTCAGTAATTTGGAGAGGTCCCTGAATGCAGATTTTCCCAGTGTTATGTGTTTCCTTATTTCCTGACTGCTGGTAACAAAAGGCTAATTGTGAATCCAAGCTATATGGAGTTGTTGACATTTTCAGTCTCTTTTCTTTCCATCATGATGTTGCCTACTGGTCCAGTGGTAGGAATCTTTGTTTTGGCGACTTTGAGATACAATCCATGCTGAAGGCTGCATTCCTTGATCTTCTGCAACATATGCGTCAAGTTCTCCTCACTTTGAGCAAGCAAGGTTGTGTCATCTGCATAATGCAGGTTATTGATAAGTCTCCATCCAATCCTGTTGCCACATTCCTCTTCACAGAGTACAGCTTCCTGAATAATATGCTTAGCATACAGATTAAATAGGTATGGAGCAAGAATACAATCCTGGCACACCCCATTCTTAATTTTAAATGATAGGGTGTAACTCTGCTCTATTTGGACAACAGCCTCCTGGTCCAGGTATAAATTTCGCATGAGAAAAATTGAGTACTCTGGGACTCCCATTATTCTCAATGTCAGCCACAACTTGTTATGATCCACACAGTCAAATGCCTTTGCATAGTCAATGAAGCACAAATAGACATTCTCCTGGTATTCTTTATGTTGAGCCAGGGTCCATCTGGCATTAGAAGTTAAGTCCCTGGTGCCACAGCCTCTTCTAAATCCTGCTGAACTTCTGGCAGTTCCCTAGCTATGTGCTTATTGTTCCAGTCATTTTGAATGATCTCAGCATTATATTTCTTTCATGTGATATTAATTATATGCTCGCTACTTTCCATATTTAGTTCATAAAAAGATTAAAATACTTAAGAATAATTTAAGAAGTACATAATGTGTGTTCTGAAAACTAAAAATCATTTATTGAAGTAATTAAAGGATACCTAAGTAAATCTATAGGTGTCCCATGAGACTATTTCTTATTTATACTATAGAAGATTAAATATTGCTCAGATAATAATGTATTTAAAATTGATTTACAAATTTAGTGGAAAGTCTATAAAAATTTTTTGGGTTTTTGGTTTGTTTGTTGTTTTTTCCAGAAATGAACATATGATCCTAAAATTCATGATAATGCAAGGGGTCAAAATTTGTCAAAATAATTTCAACAACAAAGAGGACTCAAACTTAAAACCATTATCAAAGCTGCAATAATCAAGAGACTGTGAGACTAGCAAAAGAATTGTTAAGAACATTAGAAGAATAGAAATGAGAGCCCATAAGCATTTATAAATATTTTATTTTAAATGTGTGTCAAGAACAGTCTTTTCAAAGAATGGTGCTGGAACAACTAATGGGATATTCACATGCAAAGAAAGTAGTTGAAACATTTCCTTATTCCATATCCAAAAAGTACACGGAATAGATTTTAAGTCT